GCAAGGCGTCCCGGTCCAGAAAAGGCCGCAACTGGTAGATCAGGCGTACCTGATAAAACGCCCCCCAGCTGAAGGCCTAGGACTGGGGCGACAGCACGCGTGCCCACAGAGAGGGCTCTGAGTACCGCCTCTGGCACCCGTGCCATAGGTTCGCCACCACTGGCCTATTTCTTCTCATGCAGTCTAGCTGCAGTTCTACCAGTTTCTGCAGGTGTTAAATCTTACACTGGTGAATCTGTGCACAATGCTCCACTCCCTTTGAGGGAGGTTGAGGAGAGGGGTATAAAAGAGTAAACCATATGTTGGCCAGGGTCGTTTTATAATGATGATGATGATGATGATGATGATGATGATGATGATGGAGGAAAGGACCTTGGAGGTCATCTAGTCCAACCCCTTACTCAGGCAGGAAACCCTATACCAGGGGTAGGCAACCTTTTATGACTCGTGAACTTCAACTCCCAGAATCCCTGAGCCAGCATGGCTCAGCTTGGAAACCTCTCCCTTTCTCCTCAGCATGGCTGGCTCAGGAATTCTGGGAGTTGAAGTCCACGAGTCATAAAAGAGCCAAGGTTGCCTACCCCTGCCCTATACAATTTCAGACAAATGGCTGTCCAGTCTCTTCTTAAAAATTCCAGTGTTAGAGCATTCACTGCTTCTGGAGGCAGGTTGTTCCACTGGTTAATTGTTCTAACTGTCAGGACGTTTCTCCTTAGTTCTAGGTTGCATCTCTCCTTGGTTAGTTTCCATCCGTTGCTTCTTGTCCTGCCTTCAGGCGCCTTGGAGAATAGCTTGACTCCCTCTTCTTTGTGGCAGCCCCTGAGATACTGGAACACTGCTATCATGTCCCCCCTCGTCCTTCTCTTCATTAAACTAGACATACCCAATTCCAGCAACCCTTCCTTATATGTTTTAGCCTCCAGTCCCCTAATCATCTTTGTTGCTCTTCTCTGCACTCTTTCTAGCGTCTCAACGTCTTTTTTACATCGTGGTGACCAAAACTGGATGCAGTATTCCAAGTGTGGCCTTACCAAGGCATTGTAAAGTGGTATTAACACTTCACGTGATCTTGATTCTATCCCTCTGTTAATTCAGCCTAGTCCTCTGTTGGCTTTTTTGGCAGCTGCAGCACACGGCTGGCTCATATTTAACTGATTGTCCACTAGGATTTTGAGATCCCTCTCACAGT